CCCCTGGGAGTGCTCGTGCATTTTGGGACCATTTTGGTTCATCTTGGGTGCAGCCCTGGCTGGGCTCTGGTGCTGCCCAAGGTGGATCCACTGAAGAGATCCTTTTAATAAATCCCTGCTTTATTCTTTAACTCTGTCTGGCTCTGTTCTATGTCAGCCTTCTCAAGGCATCAGTGCCACCCCTGCTATGAGTAGGGACACCTTCCACTGTCCCAGGCTGCTCCAAGCCCCAGTGTCCAACCTGGCTTTGGGCACTGCCAGGGATCCAGGGGCAGCCACAGCTGTTCTGGGCTGCTGAAGGTGGGACAGCTCCAGCCAGGAAGTTTAAGACTGGGGGAGAATCTTAAATTGGGGTTGGCCAGCAGAGGATTTTTTCATTCAGAAGGAATGCGGGAAGGACTGCTTGGTGTCCTGACAAGCTGACCCCACTGCTGCTTCTGAAATCACCACAAAGCAGTTTTCCCCAAGTTTAGGGGTCCTCCTATTCCACTGCCCACTTTATTAAATTCACTTAAACCCTGGAGAATACCTAAATAACAACTTTAATACTGACACAGAGCCCTGAGATGAGCTCAGCAGGTCAGAGCCTGGTGCTAACACCACCCAGGCTGTGGGTCAATCCTGGAATGGGCCATTCACTTAAGAGCTGGACTTGATGATCCTTGTAGGTCCCTTCCAGCTCAGAAAATCCTGTGATTCTGTAAATCAGACGTAAGACCCTGAGCCAGGAACCATGGAGATAAATAAGGAGCTCCATGTGACACCTTGCAGAGATTGCATCAAGCAGATACACTCCGTATCAAACACAAGGACACACTTCTGTTTTGCCAAGATCATGGAATCACTTCGGCTGGAAGGGATCCCTGCAAGCCGTGGTCCAACTCTCCACTCAAAGCTGACTCGAGTTAGAACAGGCTGCTGCAGCCCAAACTTAAATCTCTTTAAGGGCGCAGCTTCCCCAGCACCTGGGGCCGTGATCCCGCTAGGATTTCCCGCGGGCTGCCCAAGTGCCGGGATATGTCGAATAAATAAATAGACTCCACACCCTGGGGTAGTTATGAAGTGGGTGTGTACTGTCAGCGCCCGGCACAAGTGAGCTCGCTCTCCAAGACTTGTGCCCTGAGCTTTAGTCTGACCCAAACCTTTATTCCCAAAGGCAGGGAAGGAAGAGAAGCTGCGGGAGCTGGGCTGGACACGGAGCGGCCTGCGAGGGCACCGCACCCGGCACAGCGGGGGGATCGCCACCGCCGGCACCCCCCGCACCAGCCCACCCTCCATACCCTGCTCGACCCTATCCCATTCTATTAAATAAATTTAATTCCGTTTAATTCAATTCGATCTCATCCCTACCTGCCCGCCCGGAAACGCCGCCGCTGGCGCCGGGAAGCGCGCCCCGCGCATGCGCGGCGGGCGGCGCGGGAGCCGCCTCAGCGCGCCCCGCGCAGGCGCACTGCGCTCCCCGCCCGCCATGCTGCCGCTGCCGCCGCGCCTCCGCCGCCTCCTCCGTGAGGGGCTCCCGCCGCTCCCGCGGGACCCCCCGGCCCCGCCGCCCGCTCCGCCCGCGCCGCCCTTCTCCTTCGCCCCCCGCCGCCTCCGCCTCGGCCCCCAGCACCCGCTCTTCGAGGTGAGGCGGCGCCGCGGGGCCGCTCCCGGCGCGGTTCCCCCCGGAGCTGCGTTCTGCAGCCCTGCCCACAACCACCGCCGCTCTCTGCTCCTCTCTAGGATGGGGACGTGCACAGGCATCTCTACCTGCAGGGCGTCCTCAGCAGCCTCCAGGAGGTGGCCGAGAGACCCAAGTGAGTGAGGCGGTCTCGTCTGAGCCCTCCCGTCATGGAATCAAGGAATGGTTTGGGTTGGAAGGGTCCTTAAAGATTATCTCGTTCCTCCCCCCTGCCATGGCAGGGACACCTTCCACTGTCTCAGGTGCTCCAAGCCCTGTGCAGCCTGGCCTTGGGCACTGCCAGGGATCCAGGGGCAGCCACAGCTGCTCTGGGCACCCTGTGCCAGGGCCTGCCCACCCTGCCAGGGAATTCTTCCACTGTCCCAGGCTGCTCCAAGCCCTGTGCAGCCTGGCCTTGGGCACTACCAGGGATCCAGGCACAGCCACAGCTGCTCTGGGCTGCTGCAGCTGGCACAGCTCCAAGCAGGAAGGCCAAGCCTGGAGAAGAATCTTGGTCTTGCCAGACAGGAAGTACTTTTGAGTGCTGTGTGAGATTCACCTATGGATAACCCTTAAAAAAATCACTGGAGTTGTCATCCACAGCTGCAGCGTTTAGCTTAGACAGCTAATTTATTTATTAATGGCTTGTTTGTTCTTCACCGAAGTACCATTTAACAGGAGCCATAATGGTTAATAAGTTTCCAATGGCAAATAATTTTCCAGCTGCCAGCATCACCACGATCTTTGTTCCATTGCACCTGGCATTTAATTTTAAGTATTAGGCACAAAAAAATGCCACAAGTGTTGTGGCTGTAGGTGTGGGCCTAGTGGAAGGTGCCCCTGCCCATGGCAAGGGGTCGGAATCAGATGAGCTTTGTGGTCCAATCCAACCCAAGCCATCCTGGGTTTCTCTGATAAGTCATCTAGGGGGCATTTTTGTAGCTGAATTTAAAGCTTTAATTTCAGCTTAAAGTCCTGATTTCCCTGCAGGGTGTCCGAGTTCAGCTGCCACATCTCTGGCTGCAGCCAGGTGTTTGACACACTGGAGAGCTACGAGCACCACTACAACACCCTGCACAGGAATGTCTGCTCCTTCTGCAAGCGCTCCTTTCCCTCTGGGAATCTCCTGGATATCCACATCTTGGAGTGGCATGATTCCCTCTTCCAGATAATGGCTGAGAAGCAAAATATGGTGAGCTGCCATGCCCAGCCCTTGCCTCGTGCTTGGTATATGCTCGTTTTTTTTTCCAGTTATGTCTTTTTTCCTCTCTCCTCCCTGCCTTTCAGTACCAGTGCCTGGTGGAAGGCTGCCCAGAGAAGTTCAAGAGCAGCAAGGACAGGAAGGATCACTTGGTGACCGTGCACCTTTATCCTGCTGACTTTCGCTTTGACAGGCCCAAGAAGGTGAAAAGGTAACTGCAGAACTTTCCTCCTGTCCTGCAAGGAAAGTGTGAGGGAACTGGGATTGTTCAGCTCTGAGGTGACCTAAGTGTGGCCTTACAGTGGCTGAGGGAGCTACAGGAAACATGGAGAGAGACTCTTTACAAGGGAAATGGCTTCCCATTCCCAGAGGGCAGGGATAGATGGGATATTGGGAAGGAATCCATCCTAGATGCACTTGTTTCCTCATGAAGTACCTTTGACTTCCTTGGCTCTGGGCTCACATGGCAGCTCCTCAGCCAGGATGTAAAATTTTGTCTCTGCAGTGGCTCCAAGCACACAAGCTCTCCCATGGAGCAGGGCAGCAGCGTGCCCATGGATGTGAGCGTGGAGATGGCAGAGCAATTCCAAGTGAATGCCATGGAAACAGGGCCTGAGGAGAACATGGAGATCTCCCAGCCTGCAGCCAGCCCTGGCCCCTCGCTGCCGGAGAAACGCCTCTACAAATCCAGGTCAGTACTTTGGCCTCAGGGGCAAAATGGGCTGGGAGCACTCCATCTTATCAGCCCTTTGCAGCCTGCCTTGGGGTGTTGCTGTGCTGAGGATAAACCAGGCAGGAATCCCAAGAGTGCTTCCAAAGCCATTTTTGAAAGAAGGAAGTGTAAGGAGGAGCAGGACGTGGGTACGCTGTGGGAGCTGTGTTTGTCTGCCCACCTGATCTCTTCCCAAGGTATTGCAGGATGTTGCTGCTGCTCTCCTGCTCCTCAACCACTGCAGCTACCCAGGTGTTATATTTAGTAACACCTTGTTATAAAGAGCCCTCCAGGAAACAGGAATGTGCAGAGTACACTGGAATCCAACCAGTATTTCACCTGTTCTTTAAATTATTTGGTGATTTACATGTCCTGCTCCTCCAATTCCTTGCTCTTCCCAGTCTGGGAGCTTAAAATGCCCCACAGAGCATTAAGCATCCCAGCGAGCTTGTGAGGGCTGGGCTCTTAACATGGATTAAAGCCTGTCTCCCTTTCCAGGATCCCATCCACAATTTGCTTTGGACAAGGTGCCACCCGAGGATTTAAAGGACCACGGAAAAAGGTCTGAAGGTCGGTGCAGCAGATTTGTGCAAGATGAGCAGGCATGGAGCCAGTGCCACCAGGGATATTGCCAGTTCCCACTCCATGGAATGAACCACCCAAACCAGTTAAAGCTCTGCCAGCATTTGGGCACATGTTCCTGATGGCAAACAGAACTGGCAGCACCCAACTGAGTTAAGAGTCCTCAGGATTTGAGGAAAGGGAATCCAGAACGTGTGGTGAAGTGTTAAGGAAACTAGCCTGCAGCTGAGGCTGCATGGGACTGGGTGTTTTACTTTTTGCCTCTTGAGGGTAAAAAAATGGATTCAAGAAGTTACAAGATGCCAACGTGACTGTATGGAAGCTGGAATAACTGAGAAAAGAAAATGAGGAGAAAAAACCTCATTGGTCCTCAGTTCTGCCTTCCTCCATCTCACTGAAGTCTCCTCTGCACCCTGGAACCTGCTCTGAGAAGTTTGTCTGGGCCAGGAGAAGCATTTTCACTGGGAGTTCAAATAAAGTGTTTTCCAACCAGGTGAATAAATAAAAGAAATTTTTTACAAAATTGCTTCATAGACAATTTAAGTGCTTTTTTGAAGCCCAGGAGAGTCAGATGTGTGGAATGAACCTCCCTTCGTTTGCTGCAAATGGTGCCAAAATCAGGTTGGGATGGAGGTTATTTTCCCTCTTGCCTTTCCTTTCCTTTGTAATTTCATGTTCCTGGAAAAAACTGGAAACAGAGCCACTGATCTTGGGGTCCTGGTGAATCCTGACACTCAAAAATTGTGCACAAGGGGAAAAAAAGAGGTTTCTGGAACAATGTTTATCCAAGAAGCTTAGGATCTATAATTTTAATTTTTTTTCCCTTCCCCCTCTCTGTGAGGAATAGAAGATCAAAGGGGCTTTGAAAAATCCTTGCAAATGGGAGCAGGGAATGATGTTTACGGAGATGCAGGAGATTTCCCAGTAAGTTTTAAAAAGCTTTGCTATGTTTAAAACTCATCCAGCTTGTCCAGCCCTAATCCCTGCTCCGTGGGCTCTGGAGAGTGCTGTCTCCAGCAAGCAAACCCTGCAGCCACACAACTGCCCAGGGACATCTCTCAGCAGGGACTAAAAAGTCACTTCCCAACACTAAAGCCCCGAATGAGGCATTTTTCCCCACACTGGGATATCTGGGAACAAGCAGCAGGCCCCACGCTACTGGAGATGCCTGCAGGCTTTGGCGTGTGGTGGTACAAAGGTTGGGCAGCAGCCCAGTCTGCTCTTCCTTACTGTGTTCAGGAGTTCTGACCTGGGAACTCCTTTTTCCCAGAGCCCAGGGTCCTCGAGTGCCCACCCTTGCTGTTGGGAAACAAATTGTAGTTACTGATTGTCTCTTCTAGGCCACCAGCTTTTCCCAGCGTCCATGGGCAATAAAGTATTTCCCAGCTGGCCAGTGACTGTCAAAAATCCGTATTTCAAGCCAAAACTTGAATTTTCCATCTCTCCAGAGATCGTGCACTGTTAGGAGGACATGGACCTGCCTGCCCTGGAGAGCCCAGGGGTGCACAGGGGTGCCATGTCCCTGAGCAGCGGCACTGGATCCACCCAGGGCCGGGAGGGACATGTGGGATGGGCGGCAGCGGCACCTGGATCCACCCAGGGCCGGGAGGGACATGTGGGATGGGCGGCANCTGGATCCACCCAGGGCCGGGAGGGACATGTGGGATGGGCGGCAGCGGCACCTGGATCCACCCAGGGCCGGGAGGGACATGTGGGATGGGCGGCAGCGGCACCTGGATCCACCCAGTTGCCACCAGGCTGCCACGGCAGGGACAAAGTGCGAGGCAGGTGTGACAGGGCAGCCACGGACAGGTAGGTCCCTGCCAGCCCCGGTGGGCACGGGGGTGCTGGGGTCAGGGAGGAGCTGTGGGCACGGGAACGGGGTGTGGGCCAGCACCAGCCACATGGCTTGTGCCACCACGTCTCTACCATCTCTCTCTTCTCCACTCGAGGACCATGGGGCTCTGCAGCGTGACCATCCTGCTGGGCATGGCCCTCCTCCTGCTGGCACCCGGCAGCACCCAGGTGAGCCCTGCCTCGACCTGCCCTCCCGCTGCCCCCTCTGATGAGGAGACCCACGTGTGACCCGTGCCCCCCCTTGGACCCCCCTTGTCTCCCCACAGGCTCTGAGCAGCTCCCGGTGGAAGGACCTGGCCACGGAGCAGGATTTGGCTGAGGAAAGGTAAGAGGTGCTTGCATCTGGCTTGCAAAAACCAATGAAGCAACACCCCAGAATGGAAAGTGGTTTTTTTTGGGGGGGGGAGGGAATAAATTGTAGCTTTGTGCCCCTCTTGTAGCTTTGTGCCCCCCAAAATGAAGGGGGTCCCAGCTCCATCTCCCTTCCTCCCCAAATTATGCAAACTCCCTGAGCATGCAGCTGGTTTCTCTATTCCTTTTGTGAAACAAATATTTAAGTTAGCCCCTTTGCACCCTGAGATCCCAACTGGTGTTTTCTGGGGCATGGGCAACCTCACCAGGGTCCCTGGCACTCCCCTGGGCTATGATTCTCCTGGGACAGGGGGGTATTTGGCAACCTCTCCTTGATGATTTTGTTCCCTTCTTCCAGCATTCTGGGTGTAGGAGCACCAGAGGAGGGTGAACCAGGTATAAAGGTCTTCTCCAGCAGTGCCTGGGCTCAGAGGGGCCCACCCCAACTCCAGGCAAGACCAGAGGAGGCTCGTGATCACCTCTACCACGCAGAAGACGACTCAGGGGAGGCCAGTGACCGTGTGCCATTGTGGGTGCTGGCCCCGAAGGTGCAGAACGACCCCGAGGAGGATCGTGACCACCTGTACCACCCCCAGGATGATGCCAGGGAGGTCGATGCCCGTATGCCATTCTGGATGCCGGCCCCAAAGGTACAGAATGGCCCGGAGGAGGATCTTGACTACATCCACCATGGCTGAATGGAGATGTGCCTGGGCTGTGAAGTGAGGGGTGGGAGCTGCCCCTGGGGTTTCCTGGGGAAATTTGTCCTTTCCTAAAGAGCCTCACCAATAAACTCACTCCCCTCTGCACATCTTGTGGGCTCCTCATCACTGCCAGAAACCTGCTGCTAATTGCAGGGCCTCCAAACCTACAGAAGCTCCCTCATGATGACCCCAAGGTGCCAGGCAGGGCGAGGATGATGTCCTGGGACAGGAGACTCGGCCCATCACCCCTCACCCCTCAGCCCAGGTGAGGCTGAGGCAAACTCAGCACACCAGTGTTGTGCCCCCAGAAGGTGCCACAGGCTGTCCCCTTCCCGGGCAACACCCAGACCTATGTTCCACGAGGCTGCTCTTGCCCAGCCCAGTGTCAGAGAGCAGTGAGGGAGCATGGCAGGGCTCAGTGAACCCCAACATTTCCCAGCTAAGGCAGGACCTTGCAGCAAGGATGCCCCATCTCCCAGCAGCACCTAGAAAACCCTTTAATAGCGAAGGCAGAGGTGGTCCCCACTGCTGGCTGTCACCCCAATGACATGGCTCGCCGCCGGGTCCCGGTCCCCTCTGCAGGGTAAGGCGGGGGGTGGACGGGCTGCAGGAGGCCACGGGGACCTGCACCACCCCAGGGACCTGCAGCTCCTGGGCTCAGCTGTCGGTGAAGTTGGCCTTGCGCTTCTCCACGAATGCTGTCATCCCCTCCTTGCGGTCACTCTGGGACAAGCAGAGAGGTGAGGTGACAGTGAGGTTTGGGGGGGCTGCAGCGACCCTGCTATCCCTCATGCCACAGGGCTGATCCCCCTACTCACGGTGGCAAAGGTGGCGTAAAAGAGGCGCTTCTCTGTCCTGTTCCCCTCTGTCAGCGTTGTTTCGAAGGCTGAAAGCAAGGGAGAAGTTGGGGAGACCCCTCTGCCTGGCCTTGCAGACCCTCCAAGGGGTTCCCAGTTGGCCCCCAGCCCCTACCAGCATTGACTGACTCCTTTGCCATGGCAGTCACCAGCTTGGAGTTGCTGGCGATCTTCTCAGCGCAGGCAATGGCTGCGTCCAGCAGCTTCTCCACAGGGTAGACCTTGCTGACCAGACCTAGGATGCACAGTGGGAAGCGGGGGGATGGCTCTCTGCCAGACCCCTGCAGTGCCAGGGCTGTCCCACACCCTTACCTGCCTCCTTTGCCTCCTTTGCTGAAATGCGGTCCCCGGTGAGCACCATCTCCATTGCCAGCGACTTCCCCACTGCCCTGGTCAGCCTCTGCGTCCCGCCGGCGCCTGGGGCATTTAGAGGTTCAGAGAGGGGTACCTGGGTGTCCCCACCCCAGCTGGGATGGAAGCCCCTGGCAGGTGCCTGCTGCTCACCTGGGATGGTTCCCAGCAGGATTTCGGGTTGCCCAAACTGCGCCTTCTCCCCGGCATAGATGATGTCGCACATCATGGCCAGCTCGCACCCGCCTCCCAGCTGGCACAGGGGAGGCAAAGATGGGTCACGGGGTGCCGGGGTGGGGACAGGGGGTGCAGGGAGACGTGGGGGACACTCACGGCGTAGCCATTGACAGCGGCGATGATGGGTTTGCGGACAACGGACACCTTGTCCCACCCGGCGAGGAAGCCACTGCTGTAGCACTCCTGGAAGGTTTTATTCTGCATCTCCTTGATGTCTGCGCCAGCTGCAAAGGGAAGTGCAGTGGGACGCCAATCCCCTCCAAAACTTTGGGGTGAGCAGAGGCCCCCATCCTACCTGCGAAGGCTTTCTGGCTGCCGGTGAGGACGATGGCTCCCACCTCCGGGTCGCTCTCCATGGCCTCCAGCGCCCGCCGCAGCTCTGCCATGAGTCCCTCGCAGAGCGCATTGAGCGCCTGCGGCCGGTTCAGCTGGATCAGCCCCACGTTCTTCTGTGCCCCCGTCTTCTGTACCAGCAGGTACTGGAACGCAGCCCCTGCCCGCCACACCAGCACTGCCCCGTTAGCCCACCGGCTGCCGGGCACCGGGCGGACCCCCGGCCACCCTCGGCAGCGCCTGGCCACCGTCACTCCGTGCTATTTAAAGGCGACCTTGATGTCAGCGGTCACCGGCAGCCGGCAGGACAGGCTCGGAGGAGCTCCCAATGCCACCCTAGCCCGAGGAAGATGAATCCCCGTGACCACCCTGTGCTAGGACAGTGTGCGTGGTCCACGCTCCCAGTGATGGGATCTGGTGCACGGTCCAGCGATCCCGGTGGCCGGTGCTGGGACGCAATGCCGGTGCCCTGGTATGTAGTACCGGTGCCCATACATGGCGCAGGGCCCCGGTGCTCGGTGATGGGCTCTGGAGCCCGGCTCCGGAACCACGTGCAACTCGCTGGGCACAGGCCCGGCGCTGGGACCACCCGGTGCCCGGTGCTGTGGCCCTGGTGCACAGCCCAGGGACTCCAAGCCCGGCGCTGCGACCGCACACGGAGTACGGACGCGCTGCCCGGTGCCGTGGACTGGTGCGCAGCCCAGAGACCACGAGCAGATCGATGCGCACATGCCCGCCCGGGGCTACGACCGTGCCCGGCGCAGGGACCCGGTGCCCGGCGCTGAGCACCGGGCTGGGCCAGGCCCACCCACCCGCGGTGTCCCCCCGGTGCTCACCGGCGCTGCAGCCCCGCGCGCCGCGGGGGGCGCGGGGCGGCGGCGGGAGGCGCGCTCGGGGGAGCGCGGCGGCGGCGCTGGCGGCGGGGCGCAGGAGCGCTCGCAGCGCGGCGGCCATGGCGGAGCGCGCACGAGCCCCGCCCCTCCCGCCGCCGCCCATTGGTGCAGCCGGCCCCGCCCCGCGAGGCGCCGTCCCCATTGGCCGGGGCGGGGCCGGGGGCGGGGCCGCGACCCGCGGGCGGTGGGAGGGGGCGCGGGGCCCGATCGCCGTCCCGAGCGGGGGTCCCGCCGTGCTGCCCCGCGGGGCGCGGCCGGGCCGGCGGGGTGTGGGGGGTTTAGAGGCGCCGCGGGGAACGGGAAGGGAAGGGGAAAGGGTAAGGAAGGGGGATTCCCCCGCCGCCCCCCGCGCGGGGAGACGGGGGGAGTGCGGGGGGCGCGGCGGGAGCGCGGCAGCGGGAGCGCGACTAGGGAGGAGTGGAGAGGAGCGGAACGAGCGGGCGGCATCCCCGGGCCCGGTGAGCCCCGCGGGTGGCGAGGGAGGGGAGGGTGTGCGAGTGTGCCCTGCGGCGGGGTGTGTGCGAAGCCAGGGAAACGCGTGGGTGCGAGCGTGTGCGGGAGCATCATCGCCACGGCTGTGCGGAACATCACCCACAGGGTTCTGCGGAGCGCGCCTGTGCGAGTGTGTGCGGGAGCATCATCCAGAGGGGCGTGCGGGAGCGTGCGTGTGCGGGAGCATCATCCGCAGGGGTGGGGGGAGCGCGTTTATGCAACGCGCGGGTAGCTGCGTGTGCCGTGACACACGCGCGCGCGGCCGCAGCACACGCGCAAGCGGGACACGGCGGTGCGCGGTCCCCCGCCCGCGGCCGGGCGCGGCTGAGCGGCGGGGCTCTCCCTCCCTCCCTCCCTGCGGCAGGTGCGGGATGCGGCGGAGCGCGGCGGCGTGCTGGGCGCTGGTGCTGCTGGCCGCCACCTTCTGCGACACGGTGGCCGGCAAGGGTGGGCGCGGCGGAGCCCGCGGGGCGGCCCGCGGCGCGGCGCGGGGGGCGGCCCGCAGCCGGCCGCGGGCGGCCGTGCCCCGGTACGGCTCTGCCGGGGCGGCCCTGCGCGTGGCGGGGGCGGCGGCGGCGGGAGCGGCGGCCGGCGTGGCGGCGGGGGCGGCCCTGCGCCGGGCCCGGCTGTCCGGAGAGCTGCAAGCGGGCGACAGCGTCGAGTACCGCGACGGCAACTGGACGGCGGCCGCCAGCGCCTGGACCTCCGCCGCGCCGGCCGGGACCCCGCCGAGCCGGGCGCTGCCCTGGCTCTGCCCGCTGGCCGCCCTCCTCCGCCGCTGATGGATTTCGGGGGACCTGACTGTGCCCGGTGCACTCACGACGCCGCGAGGACCGGCCGCCCCTCACGGGGCTGAGCCCCATGCCCCGGGCGAGCAGCGGTTCCCGGGGCTATGGCCACCCACCGCCGGCGGGGCAGGACCCCCGCGGAAGACCCTCCACCACCACCCCTCCACACCGAGCCAAACCCCGCCGGCTCGGGCTCCCCTCTGCACCGCGCTCCTATCCGTGGCCTCGCCGAGTCCGGAGGCCGAGGAGGCGGCAATAAAACTGGGCGAAAGCAGGTGTGGCTAGATGCGGGGCGAGGGGCGGGACCCTGGGATGGACAGCGCCCGGCCCCTGCCTACAAAAGGCTTTATTTCGGGATCGAGACTCCAGAGCAGGCCAAACCCAGCGAGGAACAGCTCCCTGGAGGGGAAACAGATCCCTGGCAGCGTCCAGGTGCCAGCTGGAGGCACCAGCCCTGCCCCAGGCTCTCCGGGGCGGGCACAGCACTCCATGGGAGCCTCACAACAGCGACACCACCGGGAGCCTGTCCCTCCGGCCTCTTGCCCGAAACCGGGGACAGCCCTGGCGGAGCCACTTCCATCACACCCCAATAGTTCCCTGCTGAGGTGTCTCTCAGGGTGGGAGGACACCGGGGTGTCCCCAGTCCACAGGGCTGCAGGCAGTGCCTGGCCAGTGACGGGTCTCAGTCCAGTGTCACCCTGCCCAGGCGTCCTGCTCGGAAGTCCCGCAGGAACTCGTAGGCAGCAGCTGGGTAGTTGAGCATCATCATGTTGACGTTCCCTGGAGATGGCAGTGGATACAGGAGTGTCAGCGCAGCCTGATCCCCAAAACTCCCAGCCCTGCACCCCAGATCACCCACCTGTGCCTGTGAGCACCTTCACCTTCTGCGTGCGGCCCTGGCTGAGGGCCACGTGCTTCAGCAGGGGCTCGATGTGGTCGCAGGGCTGGCCCAGCCCATAGTGCTGCACGTACCTGCCAGAGGACACTGCTCACACCCTGCTGGCACCGCCTCCTCCCAAAATTCCCTGGGCATGGCATCTCCATCGCCCTCTTGGACAGCTCGCTGCTTCCCTGCCCACTCACCTGAACTGCTGCTGCTTGTTCAGGGTGTACAGGAGGTAGTCAGCCATGACGTCCTCCCCCACCAGGTGGTCATGGATGGCTCCTGGAAAAGAGGGTCAAGCCCCAGCTTCCCTAAGCCCTGCTGAGTCCTCGCCAACCCTCCTTCCACCCTCTCACACGCAGGGGTTGTGAGCAGCAGTGTCACCCCAGCCTTGGCCACATTTGGGGACTCACCACACAGTGCCAGCTTCATGCCGGTCTCCACATCCCCCAGCCTGGGGGGCAGCACGCCGGGGGTGTCCACCAGGTACATCAGGGGCTTCTCACACACCTGGCACGGGGGAGGCAGGGCTGGTAATTAGCACCGCACGGCTAATGAGTGAGGCACTGAGCTTGAGTTAAGGTCTTGCTGCAAAGGGGACCTGAGCAACCCTCCACAACCACCTCAGTGAGCCTGGAGGTGTCCTGGATGCAGGGACAGTACCTGGATCCGGGACAGCACTGCCTTGGTGATTCCTGGCTCACCCCCCACCGCAGTGGCTCTGCCTGGGGGCACAGACACAGGGACACAGGTGACACTGTGCCCACCTGCTCCCTGACCCCTGGCACCATGCACAAATACCTTTCTTGAGGTGCAGCCTCCGCAGGGAGTTGATGAGCGAGGACTTGCCCATGTTGGGCACGCCGATCACCAGGATGTTGTGTTCAGAGCTCTGGAAGCCAGGGAGACATGGGCAAGGAGCAGCTGGTTACCAACCACCACCCCCCTGCAGCAACAGGCAGCTGCCACAGGGAAATATTCACAGTGTTTGCCCTGCCAGGCACTTCTGGCACATGTGGGAGCAGCCTTGTCCCTTAGCAGGAGTGGGGGGGTCACTGCATTGGGGGCAGTTTTGGGGCACCACAATATAAAAGAGATGTAAAGCTGTCAGGGAGTGTCCAGAGGAGGGACATAAGGCCAGGGAAGGGTCTGGAGGGTCACACAGGGGCTGGCTGAAATCACTTGGTTTGTTCAGCTGAAGCAGAGCACACTGAGGTCAGACCTCCGTGGGGGCTGCAGCTCCTGCCCAGGGCAGCCCCGAGCTCTGCTCTCTGGGACAGGATCCAGGGAATGGCTGGAGCTGTGCCAGGGCAGGCTCAGGCCGGAGCTCAGGGAAAGGTTCTTCCCTAGAGGGTGCTGGACACTGCCCAGGCTCCCCAGGAAATGGGCACGACCCTGAGGCTGCCAGATCTCCAGGAATGTTTGGGCACCACTCCAGGGGTGCCCAGGGTGGGATTATTGGGGTGTCTGTGTGGGGGCCAGCAGCTGGACTGGGTGGTCTTTGTGGGTCCCTTCCAACCCAGGATATTCTGTGCCCCCTGTGCATGTCTTACCTCAGCCCTGTGGTAGCGTGGGCCATCAGCCACCAGCCTGGCAACCATGGGGACAACCTGCAGAGGGACAGGGCTGTCACTCTGTGCCCTGGCTGGCAGCAGCCACTCGCTTGGTGACACTGTGCCAGCGGGATGTGCACAACGGGGGGCTGGACAGCTGGAAAGGGAGCAGCCAGCTGGAGCACCGAGAGTTCTCCACGGGGCTTGGAGCTCACCAGGGAGCAGGGCTGGGCTGCTGGCCCACTACCTTCTTGACGTTGACATCACGCTGGCAGTCGGTGAAGACGACGTGCGAGCATCCCTGCTTCCTCATCTGCTCCAAAACCGCCTGGAGGGGACGGGAAGAGGCACTGCTGACACCTGCCTGTGCCACCACCGCTGCCCCCCGCCCCGATGCTCACCGGCTGCCGTCGGGCATCGGCCAGATCCATCTTGTTCAGCACCAGGACGTGAGGGCGGATGCCCAGCGCCTCCTGCAGCGCGGGGTTACGGCCCGACAGCGGGATGTGGCTGCGCTAAGGACACTGACTGCAACAGCATAACGGGAAGGGGATGGAGAGCGGGTGGAGAGGGGGCAAGGGCGGGTTGGAGGGACAAGGCACACAGTTCTCCGGCAGCTGTGGAGGATATCCGAGCGTCGTGCACCTCCACGAGGCAATCGGCGCGGCGCAGCGCCAGCCGCATCTGCCGCAGCCCTGCATCAACACCACAGCGCGGGGTGAGCGCTGGGTGAGGACAGAGGGGAACCCCACCCGCCTCGCTGCCGGCCCCCCAACCCCCCGTTCACCTTTCGCCATGTGCCGCGGGAACCACGAAGCCACATCGCGACCGCCGAACTCGAAACGCTCCCGGAAAACTCCTCCCGGCACCGTCCCCGCCGCCCTCAGCGCTGCCCACACCCGCATGGCGGCGGCGCGTCACTTCCGGCGCGACCGGAAATCGCCTCAGCCAAAGCGATGGAGGAGCCGCCGCCGCCGCCGGGGACTCGGGGGGATCCTCCAGCACCTCCCGGCGGCACGGGGAGTGCCGGGGCCCGCGGGGGGCACGGCGTGCCCCCCGCGGGCCCCGGCACTCCCCGTGCCGCCGTTCCTCAGCCTCAACCCCCTCACCCACCCGCCCCGCAGCCGGGCCCCACGCAGGACCCGCTGGATGATCCTCGCTACACCATCTCCAGCACCAACTGGTATTAAAGTGACACCGCCGCACCCCCCAGCCCGCCACGGAGAGCGAGAAGCCGGCGTCGCGGAGGCTTCTCAATAAAGGAGACGGGGGAAGGGCGAAGCGCCGCGGTTTATTTGGCCGCCTCAGGAGTGAGGGGACGGGCGGCTGGGGAGAGCTGGTTGAGGCGCTCGGCTTCTCGCCAGCCCGACAGCAGCGCGCCGTGGGTGGTGGAGTAGAAGGTGCGGTGCGTGGCCTCGCCGGCGAACAGGAGCTGCAGGGGCTGCGGGGAGGCGAGGGGTGAGCGCGGGGACGGGCTGGGACAGCCTCGCCCTCCCGGCACCCCGCGGGGGCACAAACCCGCAGCGGGCATTTCCCTTCCTCAGGCGCCCAGCCGAGACAGCGAGGAGCCGCCTTGTGCACGACTTCGGTGGGAATGGCCCTCCTCCCCCGTGGAGTGAGCGACTCCCGCAAAAGGTCAGCACCGCCCGCCTGGCTGTCCCCGCTGCACCCCCAGGGGCTGGGTGCTCACCCGGGGGTCGCGGGGGTCCTCGGGCAGGGGCTGTGCGAGCACGTCGATGTCGTCCCCCGAGCTGCCGACGGCCACGTAGCTGTAGGAGCCGCGGGTGTAGGGAGCGCTGTGCCAGCGGGAGCGCAGCACGCTGCTGGGCGCGGGCAGGCTCGGATTCCCTGCGGACGGGGCTCGGTTAGGATGGGCAGATCGCCCGGGGCAGCGGGAGGGCGGGGCGGGCACCTGTCATCGTGCGCAGGACGCGGGTCATGGCGCTGAGAACCTCGGCGTCGCTCAGCGTCTCCATGTGCTCCGACTCCTTCCCCGCGATGAAGCCGCACAAGACGTGCCCGTGCCTGGGGCGGGAAGGTGGGGCTGAAAGCTGCTGCCCCTGCCCGTGCCCACCAGCGGCACGGATGCCCCGAATCCCCGGCCACCTACTGCTCTGGCGGCTGCAGCACGACGAATCCGATGAGCTTCTTGAACCAGTTGGCCTCCAGGTCAGCGTCGGGCTCCTCCAGGGGCGACTCATCCTCCCACACCACCTCCAGGAGCTGCTGCTCGGGCTCCCAGAAAGGCTGCTCGAACTCCAGGAAGATCTTGTTGTTGGTGCCAAAGCCCAGGTTGCGAATGGCCCGTGCTTTCCGCTCGGGAAGCGGGGGCTGGAAGAATTCCTGGTGGTGTTCCTTGAGGAAACCTGCAGCCACAAGTTTGAGCAGCTCTCAGCTGGGATCCTAAATGGCGTCTGAGATACTCCGACCTCCCCAAACCCCTTTCCAGCCTCTTCCCATTGGGAGACGGGAGGCTGGGAGGGGGTTTAGGCAATCCCTGCCCTCCACTTGCCCATCTCCAACCGTGCCAGCTGGTCGAAGGGCAGGGGCAGGGCAAGGGAAGGTGTTGGTGTCCTCACCCAGCGGGACAGTGATGATGACGTGGTCAGCAAGGAAGACATCTCCATCCTCGCACTCCACCCGGACGGGGAAAACCCTGGCATCGTCCCCTTCCTCACGGAAGGACCCTTGCCACTGGATGGTCCTCACCGCCTTGTTGAACAGGACGGTGCCCTCGGGCAGGTCCGAGAGCAGGCGCTCGGCCAAGCTGCTGTAGCCGCTGTGGGAGGAGTCACCGCTGGGGACGGGACGGCCCCGCAACGCAGCTCCGTGTCCCGCTCCGGAGCCCCGCGCTTACCCTGGGAAGGTGCAGTCCAGGCCGGGCAGCGACACGTACTCCCCGAAGGGCTCCAGGCCCACCAGGTCCATGCTGTGGGTCCCGCTGATGCAGCACTCCAGCTTGAGGCAGGCGGCGAGCACGGCCAGCTGCAGCCGCCGGGCATCCTCCTGGCCCCCCGCCATCGTGGGCACCGTCCGGGCGATCTCTGCCCGCACGTACTGGCCCACGCTGGGCCACGGTGGCTCCTTGGAGCCCTGGAAAGCGCGGGTGGAGGCCAGGAGAGCGGAGAAGAGGTCGCGGGCTTCGCGCACTGCCTTGGGATTCAGCACCTTCCCCGAGCTGCCGTAGGTGACGGACGGCATCGGGGGGTGGCCCCCCGCTTCCACCTGCTGGTTCTCCTCCCGGGCGGCCTCCGGGCCCAGCAGGCCGTAGCGGGAGGCCAGGCAGAACACGGGATTTCCCGGCGAGGGGCCGTGGATCCAGTGTGCCCCCATCTCCGCCAGCCCCGACGCTGCCGGCAGGGAGGGAAGGAGGGAGGGAGGGAGAGCGGGTCACCCCGAGCCGTGCCCTGGAGAAGCCCTCGGGGCGCAGCGGGACCCCCGGCGCCCCGTGCCCCGAGGCGGCCGGAGCCGCTCCCCCCGCCGCGCCCCCGCTGCCCGCCGTGACCGGCTTCCGTTCGACCCCCGTGCTCACGGGACCGGCCGCCCCCGCCACGTGTCCAGCCCACTCCGGACCGGCCCCACGGCCCGGGGGTCAGGTGCAGCGGCTCCCGCATCCCGCTACAGCCGCCCCCCGCCCCAGCCCGGGCCCGCCCCCCGGTGCCGCCCACCCCCAGTTCCCGGAGCCTGCCCCGGCCTCCCCGCCCGTACCGAAGGGGCGGGTGCAGACGCGGCCGCCGGCGCGGTCCGCCGCCTCCAGCAGGCGGAGGGAGCCGTGTCCGCGGAGCCGCTGGGCCGCCCCCAGCCCCGCCAGCCCCGCGCCCACCGCCACCACCCGCCGCCCGCTGCCCTCCATGGCCGCCCGCGCCGGCCGGTACCGCCCTCCGCCGCCGCCGGCACCGCCCGCCACAACGGCACCGCCCCTGGAGCGGCCCGGGCCGCGGCGGCGGGGAAGGAAGGGATGGAGGGGAGGATGGCGCGGGGGTGGAGGGAGGCAGGGATGGATGCCCGTGGGTCCCGGGGCAGTGATGAACCAGCTGCCGGTACCCGTGGAGGGCGGGAGAAGGCTGGGGGGGAGAGGGGTTCCTCCTGGAGTAGCGGCAGCCCTGGGATCACCTCCGCGCCCTCCTCCTCTCCCCATTCTGCTCCTGCTCATCCGCCTTCTACGGTGGCGGGCCAGCCTGGCAAGGTGGAGGAGCAGTGGATGCCCATCGTCCCGCGGTCCCGCCGCACACATCCCAACAGAGCTCCCCAAGGGCCAGTCCCAGCGCTCCTGCCCACCCGTGATTCCCAAACCTTCATGGATACAATAAAACTCTCCACTCCCAAGGCTGTCTTTTGGGGTTTTTTTTTGTCAGCAAGAGCTCCTGTCCCCTGCCCAGAGGTGGGGTAAGGTACTGGATGTACTGGGGTACTCCCAGCTGGGGCCCTCGGAGAACCCAATGTGCCACCCAGCTCTACCACTGTCTGTGTGGTTACCGTGGCCCTGCTGGCCCTGCCAGCTCCCCAAAAAATATTCACATGCAAGGAAGACCTGGCGTGTCAAAGCACAGGCTCCTGAAATCCCTTTTGAGTATTTATTTTGGAGGGATTTTCCCCACCTCCGGGTTTGCAGCAAGCAGCAGGGTGGGACAGGCTGGGGACATCGGCCTGGCAGCAACTTCCCGGAGGGACGGTGGCCCTGCAACCCAGCTCAGGGCATTTGGGGTCCCCAGCTCCCAGGGATGAGGGATGATCATTCCCAGTATCTTGGTGCTGAGCCAAGCAGCCATTCCCAGCGACCTCTGGCCCCTGAGTCCCAGCCCAAATAATGCAGGCACCTGCCTGGCTTGGTCCAGATGGAGACCTTCCACTTCCTGGGGACTTGTCTTGGGGAAAAAGGATTCTCCAAATCCAACCCGAACTCTCTGGGCTGCAATGTGGGGCCGGACCTGTTGCTTTGGCCTCATGCATCCCCTCCATTCCTTTGTGTGCCATGGCTGGGGGCTGCTCTCAGCTGTCCCCCCACAGCCAGACTCAACAGGCCCAGCTCCCTCCCACCTCCTCACAGGCTGGCTGCTCTAATCCACAACCCACTGGGCAACCACTGTGGGGTCATGGCAGGGTCCCCATGTGTCCCTGGGTCAGCACCATCCTGTTGGGGCCCTTCCAGCTGGTGGCTCCTGCCTGTTCCGGTGCCTTGGCTGACCCCGGTGCTGCCCTCCCGGCACGGTGCCAGCGGTGCCTGAGGAGCTCCCAAGCAAGGAGGAGAGACCCCAACAACCAAGGGATATGTAGAAAGCACCATCACCACAAGTGTGTCAGGTCAGCAGGAAGAGGGGACAGCAGGGAGTGTCCCACCATGTCCTCAGGCTGTTTCAGCTGCGGGACAGGGGCCAGGCCATGGACACCTCCCCCGGGAGCCACTGGTCTACCAGGACCCCTCCATCAGCTTCAGGATGCTGCTGTAGAGGCGCCCAGGGGCATCCAGGCCCCAGACAAAGTCCCAGTGGTTCCAGTCGGGGATGTGGGTGTAGGTGACGAGGTGGCTGATGCGGGGCAGCAGCTGGAGCACGTCCCTCCAGTCAGCTGCCCAGTCCTGCCCTCCCGACCACACCGCGGTGGGCACTGGCATGTCCTCCAGGCGGTACAAAGGTGGTGTGTCCTGGAGGGACACGGGGGCTCTCAGGTGGTCAAGGAAGCCATTCTGTCCCTGCACCACCCTGGACAGACCCCCAGCATCTCCAGCTGCCAGCACTGCCGTGGCAGCTCCTACCTGGTGGTACCTAGCTGCGTTCTTGCTGCCGTAGTCAAAGGCTTTGAATTCTCCAGATTTTATCACCTGTGAAGAGAGGATGGATCTGCTGTGGGAGGATGGATCTGCTGTGTCAGGATGGACCTGCTGTGGGAGGATAGATCTGCTGTGGGAGGATGGATCTGCTACTGTGTGGGTCTTGCATCTCCTGGCTGCCTTGAGGCACCCGTCATGAGAGGGTGCTCAGAAAGGTTTGTGTAAGTTCCTGCCCTCCATCTGCTGTCTCCAACCATGCCAGCTGGCTGGGGACAAGCATGATGAGGAAAGGTGTTGGCATCCTCACCCGTGGGAGATTGCAGGAGGAGATGGCATTCCACCTTTTTTAACAGGGTGGCTTTTTGACCTCTGGCTCCATGCCTGTCCCTACCATGGGCTGACAAACCAAGGTGAGGATCTGTTTTTCATGCACATGACTCCTTGGCTGCCCTGGTGCCATGCTCTTCCCTCTCAAATCCTGCTCACCACCAACTGTGTGTGCTGGGTGCTGCTGCAGCTCCTTCAACAACCTGATTGTCTTTTCCAGCTTCCATTACCAATCATTTGGCTCTGCAAGGAGGCACATGGGTGGGGCTCTCCAGCCTGACCCCATTTCCAGCAGGGCCAGTGCTGAAGCTGCAGAGTCCATCTCCAGGGTGTCCAGAACCCCTTTGGACAGCTTCCCCATTGTTGGGTCCCCATTTTCCTCCTCATCCAGTTCCCCCAGCCTCTCCTTGCACCCACCATCACCATGGTGTCCCCAAGTTCTGCTTTGGGGACCCCTGGGTTCTCAGCATCCATCTGTGGCCTCCCCATCCTGTGCCTTGTCCTGCCTGGCCCAGCACAGGACACACACTGCAGTGTCCCCTGGTCCCCAGAGGCACCTGGGCAGCTCTTCTGATTTCTTGCCTTTGCTTTCCCAACGTCTGAGACCCCTGAGCTCTCGTGTCTGCCCTGGGCACAGCAGGCTCTCAGTGAGGGGACCATCCCAGGGCTGAAGCATCCGTGTGTCAGGGATCCTACCTGGGCCCAGTGGATGATGTTTTTGACAGAGGTGCCATCTGGGTAGTGGGATGTGTACACATCCAGCCGTGTCTGCAAGGAAACATATCCCAACTGTGGGTGCTTTCCAGCGGATGGGAGTGCAGTGGCAGCTGCCAGGTGTTTCCCAGAGCAGCCACTGCTGAGTCACGCTGCCTGAAGGGCTGGACCAGGTTCAGGAATATAATTTTCATTAAAAAACACTTGCTGTGAGGCAGCATCGGGAGAAGAGTGACGGGGATGAAAGATGAGCTCTGTGGGACCCCTCACCTGTGCTTAAGACCTCAGTGACTGCTTCAGCAGGTGGGTCAGAGCAGGGGCTGCACCCCAGGGTGGTCACAGTGACAGGCAGCCCTAACTCAGAGGTGCTGGCGAGGGCTACCTGGCCACTGACATTTACCCAGCAGAGCCTGGGGGGCCTTTCCTGTCCTGGGGGGAAAAGCATGTGGCCGAGTAACACACGTTGTCCATGCAGGATCTGCTTGCTGCGAGCACTGGGGTGAGTGTCTGTGGCAGGCTGGGCAGGGTGGGTGGCACAGCAGCGGCCCTGGGACCTTCATCCCCACTGGATTGGCACACCCACCATGTTGAGGTTCTTCTCGTTGTAGCCACCCAGCAGGAAGAGCAGGTTGGCACAGGGCTTGTGCAGCAGTGTGTGCCTGCAGAGCTCGGGGAGAAAGCGCCAGAGCTTCCTGATCCTCAGGGACGCGTCCGTCCTGCCCAGCAGCAGCTGCGGGAGCAAAGGGCGACACGGGAGGTTCCTGCTGTCCCCTCCCTGCAGCCCAGCCCCTGCAATGTCCCACAGCCAGGCAGCAAAGGGAAGATCCAGGAGTCAAGCCTGCTGCCCCCCTGCCCTGCTGCCCCCCTGCCCTCCTGCCCCACTGAGATGTTGCAGGAGTTGGTGCTGACGGAACACACAGCAGGGAAATCAATATGCACAACTCTCCTCTTTCCCCCCACTTCCCCCAGGCACAGGATCTGGTTTTCATGGAATCAACATGGTAAGGCTGCTGTTTTCAAGTCTAGGGCCCCTACAACTGCCTCTGTTGCAGTAAGGTAGGAAAATTATAAAGAAAAGCCTTATAAAATCAAGCCTGCTCTGGCTGGCCTGTCATTTCTTCTAAGTCAAGCTAGTCCTTTGCAAGTTCCCATGTGAAAGCAATCCTGGTGTGAGCAGCACCTTAACATAACAATCTATTCCTGGGTAAAAAACAACCAGCACCTGCATAAACTGTTTTTGCACTGTTAGATAGAAAAATGAAAACAATCTCTCACAAGCAACTTTTCCTGCACGTACACACTGGGGGTTTGAGTGACCAATCAATACAGAATAACAACTTGTTAATAGCCAATAAAGTAAATGGCAAGAAAGCTACTGACCAATTGGAGTCACACAGGAGGTCTGTAAAACTGTATAAAAAGGAGTTATATGATTAAAGAAGGGCCTTTTTCCACCATGAAGAAAATGGAGTCCGTGTGATTTATTCCCATATGCCCCCATATAAAGACCGTGTTTATCCTACAGATGGAAATTGTGTCTGTGCTAATAAATCAGCAGGAATTAACTGTTTTCTGCTGCATCAGAGAGCCCCTGGGGTGGTGTCTGGGCATGATCCCTTCTCTAGAACCAGCAGGTTTTGGGGCAGAAGGGCGTGGAGTTATCCCTTACCGGAATCATGTTGAGCTTGCTGTCCACAAGGACCTGCATCTTCATGAATGGACTTCTGGTGTGCTTGAGTGACACTACTGGAGCCAGGGCAAAAAACATTTTGACTTTCTGAGCCAGTTCGGGCATGGATGAAAACGCAATAAACGCTGAGAAAACAGAAAAACAACCTCAGACTTGCTCCATCTTTCCTCAGGTGCTGAAACTGAGGGCTCACTTGGACCCAGCTCTGTTTGATTGATTATCTCCACTTGGAAATCTGAGATCTCTTGCCACCTTCCTGCTAAATGTTGGTGCAAAAGATGCCCAGAAGGAGGCAACATCTTTATTCTCTTGGCACTTCAGTGGTTGTTAAACCCACATGGAGGGCTTAACCCCCCTGCTTTCTGCTGACAAACACCAAAATGGGCTTTTTCAAGTCAAGGTGGTGGGTGACCCTTCGGCACTCACCAATTGAGCAGCCCTGGGAGTAGCCAACGTAGTGGAGCTGCTTCTGCCCCGTTTTCTGCAGCACAAAGTCGATGGCGGCCGGGAGGTCGTACATTGCCATCTCATGGAAGCTGCAACACAGGAGGGGGATGTTGGTTGTGAGCCAGAAACTTACCTTAGGCTGCTTTGCATTGCCCAGCTTCGCATCCGGGGCTGATTTTCCAGGAGAAAATTCCTGGCATGGATCCCTCTTGCCATGGCATCATCTTCCCCTTAAAGGGCTTCGTCCTTCCATGGCCGTGGTGAGCAGTAAACAGAGCCTGGCCAGCATTCCAGTGCCATACCCAGCCTCTCTGCAGAGCCAGAGCTGGCTCCCACCAGGATTACAGCACCAGCTCTGCTCCCTGGGATCCTCTTTCCCCCATGGGAATGGAGCACTGGCTCCTGTTGGTGGGAGGTGGTGAAAGGCAGACGTGCTGTGGGAGGTTTTGCTAAAAGCCTGTTTATGAGCTTGGGCATTCTCCTCTGGAGAGTCAGTAGCAGCTTTAAAAAGGGGGGACAAGGGGCAACAAGGGGAGCAGGGGAGGTGGCAATGACACTTGTGAACACCTCAGGGGTGTCCCCATGGAGGGCTGGTGTCTCTGTGTGTCCCCACGCAGGTGGCAGTGGCCCGTGCTCTCGGCAGCTGCAGGGAGGTGCTGGCACCGTGTCAGCAGGCAGGTCTGCTCAGGTCCCTCCGTCCTCCCCGGGGGAGGCTGTGCCAGGTGCTCTGACTTGCCTGCTCAGAGGCACCCACCTCTGCCTGGAGCTTGCTGACAGGCAGAGAGCATCGCCAGGCTTGTGTAACGCACTCCAGCCCACCTGAAATCCCAGAATTCTGCCTGGTCGGCTGAAAGGTGCTGGTGTCTCCGGGACCAGCTCGTCCCCCGGCTGTTTGCCAGCCACACATCATAGCCAGAGTCTGCTAGTATGAAGCCAAGGCTGTTGTTAGCCAGATTTTCCACCCAGTGGCTGCTTTCTCCAAATATCCCGTGCTGGAGAAACACGACTGGCTTGGCCCCTGGGTGCGAAAGAAAGAGCACATTTCATTGAACCACATTCTCTCTATTCACTCACCCCAAATTAAGGCCAGTAAAGCCTCTTCCTTGCACTGCCAGAGGATGTGCAAAATGCGCATTTTGACTGTGTGTTTTGGTGCTACAGCTCTGAGTGTAAATTGGAGAAATCCCATGGATTCAGTATTTTTGCTTTAACAGTGATTATTCCCCTGGCCTGTCCAGGTTCATCCATTCAGGGCTTTTATTTTTTTTATTTTTTTTTTCTGGCTTTGCGTGAAATAGAATTGTACCTCTGTTCTTAGGCTTTTCTCTTCCATGAGGAATTCTATTCAGGTGGATGTAGTAGCCATCACGAGTCAGCACTTCATACTCCTCACTGGGGTACCCTCTGTGGCAGATGATTTGGCTCTGGGGGAAGAAAAAACCCAGGTGGGAAACTTTCCATAGTGAAGGTGCTTATCTGACTTGAGGAGCACATGGTAAAACCAAAGTTCTGGGTCATGGCTTTGCCCAGGCTGTCTCTGGATCAGGTGAGGACATTTTGGGACAGAGGATGATGCTCTGTCCAAACCCTGCCCCAGTGATCTGCCCAGGGGAAGGGGAGATGCTCAGCCGTGGGCAGGACGGGAGCTGGCGGCTGCAGGGCTGGAAACCATTGAAACCAAAAAGATTTACTGGTGCCTGACCCCCTTTACTGATGCCTGGCACTGATTTCCTGACGCCTGACACCAATGGCAGCACATGTCACATCAGGCTCCCAGGTGATGAGCCGGGCAGATAGGATGCTGGGGCAGATGGAAGCTGCCGAGCTGGGCTGACTGGAAGGGCAGTGGGATAAACCCCATAGGGTCCCTTGCAGGGCTCCCGAGGCTCTGCCTGAGCTTTATTTATGCTGAAAACTCCACAGACTGGGAGAGTCCAGCTGCGGTCCTGCACGAGCCTTGTTTTGTCACAAGGCTGGCAGGAAAGATTAAATGCAGCAATTTTATCTTGGGTCCTGCTAAACCCAGCTTCAGAGCCTCACAGGGCTCACCTGGACATGGCCCTGAGCGATTTGCTGCTGCTGAAGGAGAGGAGCCACGCACAAATTTCTACCCTCTGGGGAGATAGCTGATCAAAACCAGTCTGGGATTATCCCAGTCTCTAACTGCCCTGCTGCTAATTGCACTTAATTCTGCTGGGAGGAGGAACTTGTTAATGGTGGTGTGGAGGCAGCGTCATATCACAGCAGCTCAACAACACCAACCCCCTCCAACCCTCCCTCTCCTCCAGCTGAACGTGCCCAAGCCTTCAGACAGAAAATTCAAAGTTCTCCTGGCTTACAACGTTCATGAGAGCCTCGGGATTTAGAGCCTTTTTCTGCTTGGTGGCATCTTCGGAGCTCGTGGGTGCTTGTACAAAGAACAGGATTGCAATGAACAGCCACATCTTGTGCCTGTGAAAATAATAATAGCAACAATAGCAACAAAATATAATGATAATGATAGTAATAATAGCAATAGGAACAACAACAACAATGACAACAGCAGAACTGGTAATACCGATGCTGTTGTTATTATTGTTGATTATTATTGTTACTGGAATTGATATTAATGTTTGTTTCTACTTGGTTGTTATGTGTTAAGTGCCTCACATATCTGAAGATCACGTATAATTTTCTGGGTTGGGAAAGTGGAGGGAATTCCCAATTTGATTTTTCTTTGCAGCCCACATGAGAATTTTTTATACTGTATAGACAGGATCTGGTACTAGGCAGGAGCCTTTTTTATATTTTTAATGGCAAGAAGAAGAGAAGCAGCTGTACAAAACAAGAACGAAACCAATACCACTGGTCAAGTTGTCTCACAGAGGAAATTAACCTAAAGGGGGAGTTTATGCTATGGAAGGAACATGTTTAGTGTGTCTGGGCTATGACTCTGTCTATACTTTTTGTGGTTCTCTGTTGCTTAGCTTTTGTACCCAAAACCCACTGTAACAGAAGGATCCTATGAGCTGAGACTGGTAGAGCCTCATTGGTTAAATAAGTGTAGCCTGAAAAAAACCAGAAACCTTTTTGATCACCTTAGATGCTCCTGAGCTGAGCAGAGGCCTATTTTTAATGCACACATTAACATTATATATGATTTCTAATGTTTTGCCAGGCTCTCAAAAGTTAGAGCTTGACTTCAGCCCAGCAGCATGAATTGTGAGTTACTCTCTGCCTCCCTCCTGCTCCCACACCACGAGACTTTCCTACCCTCTGAAGTACTCCCAGCAAACCTACCTGTGGTATCACCAAGGTGCGAGTTAAGACCAAAAATAAAATAGAGCAACCAATGCCTTTCCCTTCCTTGGGGCAGCTCCAAAAGGACAAAAAATCTGAATGACACGGAGGAAAATTCCTTGCCAGGCAGAGCCCACTGGCACGTCTGACCTGGCTGGTGGTGGCAGTGCCAGTGGCTCTGTCACCACCAGAGTTAAAAGGACCACGCTGTGTCAGAGCCCGGCCACGCTGGCACTTGCTGTTCACGTGTCTTCCAATTAACAGATGTGTGCTGATTGCTCCTGTGGCACCTCCCTTCACGGGAGGCTTCTCGTGGCTTTCATGCTTGCAAAGGATTGTGGTTTTGCAGAGGCAGCCAGGTTGGTGTGTGAGGAATTCCAGCTATGGAGTTGCACCTTAAGCTCATGATAGCCAGGCTGAAAAAGAGAAATGCCAACAAGCAAGGGTAAAATAAAATAAAAAGCCAACAGCTTTTCTTTGTGAAGGGTCATTTCCTAATTCCCAGGGTAATTTCCTATCTCTCAGGGTCATTTAGAAGAGTTTCTGGTGCAACAAAAATGCTTGGTCTGAACTGAGGCCTTGTGAAGGCTGACCTAGAACACAGGCTAGACAAGAGTTCAAGAATGAAATAGGGATTTATTCAAAGGATCTCCTCAATGGATCCACCTTGGGCAGCACAAGAGCCCAGCCAGGGCTGCACCCAAGATGATCCAAAATGGTCCCAAAATGCACGAGCACTCACGGGGGCTCTCACTGGGATCAGTTCTCCATTTGCACATTGGAGTTCATTGTCCAATTCCAGCTTTAGCCCAGGCAGTCCCATCCTGATTGTTTTTCTCTCTTCAGCCCACGTTGTTTGTGCTCTTGGGCCTGAGATTTGGATCATTTGTCCTTGGTCCCCAGCTAGAGAAGGAATTGTTTTGTCTCCCTGCTCTGTGAAGAGAGCTCACCATCCCTAATATGAAGCTCAGACCCACACACTAAAGCAGCAGAGAATCTGAAACATAAAATCTAAATCTGAAGTTATCACCACCCTTTTCCAAAGCCTCAGCAGCATGCCGAGATCCCCAGGACACCCCAAGGGCAGGTCAGGCCTCACTGCCTGCCTGGATGGGAGACACTGAAGCATCCCACCCCTCATGAAAAGTGACAGTAAGGTCCAGAAGTGTTGTGTTAGCAAGGGGCAATTCACAAAAGCTCTGCAGGGCTCTCTGGAAAAGCACCAGGCTGAATGTCCCTTCTGGAAAAGCACCAGGCTGAAGCTCTCACCAGCAGCCAGAGGTGCGGGGCAGAGCTGGTGCAGCGCCTGTGCTCGGCCAAAGCCGCAGGAATTTCCTGTGCTAAGGCGCTTGTTCCTCCCTGCAGCCCACACCCTGCCCTGCCTTGGGAGCACGCAGGAGCCCGAGTGGGCTCTGCTGGAGCCTGCCACCCCTGGCTGGGGCAGGCTGGAGCTGCTGCGGGCCGTGGTGCACGGGGAATGGAGCTGTGGAACGCAAATCGTCCCGCTCCATCGCCGACATTTCCTCTGCTGGCACAGAGGGGCTCTGGGGCTGCCTTCCTCCTCGTGGCAGAACCTTCACTTCTTCATTACCTCCTGCACCTGTGCCTGCCCTGGGCTTTTGGAAATGTCTTCCCCCACCTGTGTGCACAGAATTCCCACTGCAAAGAGTCGGAGGATCGTGGATGGAACTCATATAGGTTGGAAGGACCTTCAAGCTCATCTTGTTCCGTTCCCTGCCATGGGCAGGGACACCTTCCATTGTCCCAGGCTGCTCCAAGCCATGTCCAACCTGGCCTTGGGCACTGCCAGGGATCCAGGGGCAGCCACAGCTGCTCTGGGCACCCTGTGCCAGGGCCTGCCCACCCTGCCAGGGAACAATTCCTAATTCCCAATATCCCATCTAAATTTCCCCTGTGTCAGTCTGAACCCATTCCCTGTGTGCTGTCACTCCAGTTCCTGTTGCAGGGTCCCTCTCCAGCTCCCCTGTGTCCCTTCAGGCCCTGGAAGGAGCTGTGAGGTCTCCACACCCCCTTCCCTTCTCCAGGCTGAGCACTGCCAGCTCTCCCAACCTGGCTCCACAGGGAAGGTGCTCCAATTCCCTCAGCATCTCCATGGCCTCCTCTGGACCTGCTCCAACAGTTCCATGCCCTCCTTAAGCTGAGGGCACAAGAACTGTGCACAGGTGGGGTCTCACCTGAGTGGGGCAGAATCCCCCCTCCCCTGCTGCCCACACTGCTGCCTTCTAACTCCACTACTCGTTCTCTAGTGGAGGTACTAAGTAATAGTAATAGTAGTGATAAATTACTAGTAATAGAAGTTGGAAAGGCAGCAGAGACTTCTCTGACATCCTCAGGCTGTGGAATGAGGCCATTGGAGCAGTGTGTCAGTGCTGAGGTGAGTGTGTGATTCAGCATCTGAGGTTATTCCACCTGTGGTGGAAGGACAGAAGGTGCAAAAAAAAAAAAAAAAAAAAAGCAGCTGGATTTTTACTGAGGAACTCTTGTGTAGCTTAGTCAAAAGGAGGAATGAAGACAATTTGAAGAGGTCGGGTTTAGATGGGATATTGGGAAGGAATGGCTCCCTGAGGTGGGCAGGCTCTGGCACAGGGTGCCCAGAACAGCTGTGGCTGTGTAATCCCTGGAAGTGTCCAAGGCCAGGCTGGATGCGGTTTGGAGCATCCTGGGATAGCGGAAGGTGTCCCTGTCATGGCATGGGGTGGAATGAGGTGATCTCTAAGGTTCCTGCCAACCCAAACCACTCTGGGATCCCACGATTCTCAGAGGGATGTGTGTCCAGCTGGGCTGGTCAAGGTGTGACATGGAAGGCAAAGGTTTCCATCCCACAAGTCATCCATGTGCTTCCTGGGCTCTGCCTGAGCCACAAACCCCATATTTTTCTTGGCCTCTGAGGCCCTTTAAGAATCAAGATTCACATCTCTTGGTGTGGTGTGTTGCTTCTGCCTCTTGTTAGCTTCACACTTCATGGATATGAGGCAGCATTGCTGCTGGATGCCTTTCATGTTCTCGTTTGAGGCATCACAGGACTGCAACCCCACCTGCTGCTGGCACAACAGGAAGGGAAACAGCCCATGGGATCAGCTGTGTCCCCAGTGCCATCCTACAGGTGCAGGTCTGCTGCTGCTGAGTCACCTCCTCTGAGGCACACCGTGGTGCAAGCAGCACGTTCCTCAGCCCTCAGCTCTGGCATTGGGGTTAATCATGTCCTGGGCTATCCATGGCCACCTTGCCCTCCCTCCTGCTTGCATTCCACCAGGCTGTGTGCCCAGGGTGCCTCTTGCCGAGCACAAAGGTGAAGCAGTCACAAGTCACCTGGTCCTGGGATCCTGAGCTGGGAAAGGGAGTAGCACCCTGATTTTGGCAATAAGAGAATGCCAGCTCTTGTGCAATTCCTGCCAGATAAACACAACTTCCTTGCAGTAACCTTGGAGAACATGGCTCATATTAAAGTATCTGCTGGGGGAAGCAGTCCTTATCTGCTTGTACTTCTCCTAGGTTAAAGTCCCTTTGGCAAGGCTGGGACATCTCTGGTTTACACATTTGGTAGGGGTTTTGCCCGTGCTGGAGTTGCATGGTGGAGCCTGAGGAAACAGCTGATCTTTTCACAACACCTTGTTAGGGTTGTCCCTGCAATCATTCCGTTCTCTGTAATGAAATTGAATAAACAAAAGCATAAACGTTCCTGAGCGTGGATTGGGAAATAATGGAGATGTGGTCACTGGTAACCACAGTAATTTTTCTCCAGAAATTCCTCCCCTGTTCCTGTGTTCAGAAGAGCCCAGAGCAACCCCAAACTTTTTGTGCTTCTTCCCTGCTCTCTCTTCATTGTACAATTTGATTTAAAGTGTATTTTACAGCTAAAGGAGTTTGGTTTGTGGGTGGACAGACCTGGGACGACGTGAGCAAAATTTCTCAGTAAAGAAACACCTACTGTTTTCAGATTTGGTGCTGTAGTGCTCTTGAGATTATTTTCCAGCATACTGGAGAAAAGCTGATCTGGCTCAGCTTTGCCAAAGCCCTGATCAGGGCTACCAGGGAGCAGGAACACATCCCACAGGACATAGTCCAGCGTCAGGGT